TATATACAATATGATCCTGCTTTCATGAGAAAGTCAACTACAAATTTCTACTTCTTATTTTCTATTTAGCTATATATTTATAAGCAAATACTGAGATAATGTTTCACTTTTATTTTAAGTTTATAAAAACAAAGGACCTGTAAACTAATTATTTTGTATAACTAGATTCTTGCAAAAGTAAGCCTCAGTCTTTCTTATCTATTTTTTTTTCTCTTCCCTTCATTCCATATAACATAATTTAGAGATAAATACTATCTAATTACTAAGGAACCAAATGTTGTATATGAAGGAAATCTGTTTTTTGGAGACCAACATGTACAAGGGCAATTCAGAAATAAACCTCTGTTTGGTTATCAGTGACAGACACTCGCAGATACAGAACTTTTATTATACACCAAATCTGAAATTCCTTAGTAGTAGCCGCTCAGCGCCTTATCTGGGCTATGGGGGAGTTGACCAAAAACATCCCAATGGAACTGCTTCAAAAGTTCTTGGGTATATCTAGTGGTGTGCGGGCGAGCATTATCGTGAACCAACACCACACCGGAAGTGGTGTCATAGAAAATCCCGCCAAATGTGAAGATGCCAAAGGAGTACTGTTAGTGAAGTTCGTGGAGCATAGTTCGACCCTCAGTTCAGAAGTCTACTGTGAAACATTACAAAAACTCAGATGAGCCATCCATAACAAGCATTGGGGCATGCTGACTTCCGGTGTGGTGTTGGTTCACAATAATGCTCGCCCACACACCGCTAGACCCACCCAAGAACTTTTGAAGCAGTTCCATTGGGATGTTTTTGATCAGCCCCCCCATAGCCCAGATTTGGCGCTGAGCGACTACTACTAAGGAATTTCAAACCTTGTAAGACGTTATGACAAGTGCTTCAATTTGAATGGTGATTATGTCAAAAAGTAATGTAATGTTGTAGTTTTCTAATGTGTATAATAAAAGTCTTATATCTGCAAGTGTTTGTCATTGATAACCAAATGGAGGTTTATTTCCGAATTGCCCTCATAGATTGCACTTGTCACAAAAATCACTTGGCTGCTTATTAACATATTTTGCATCTACTTTTGTCCATTTCTAATTTATAAACCTGCTATCAGCATCTTTACTTTTTCTTTTACTTGTTCAGTGACTTCTGTTTGTCACATCAATTAGTGGTATCTTTTATTCATTTAAATTAACTTCCAACAGTCTTTTCAAAGTATCCCTATAGCACTTTCGGATATTTTCTATCTCTTATTGTAGTTTAGTTTTAATGGATTGTTATAGTTTGTTTATGTTTAACAAATTATAGTTAAATAACATGACTTGGCATAATGTATTGACATTCCAATAAAGGAGAATATTTGTAGCTGAGGTTTGAAATGAGGGGTCCTTGTATTGACATAGATTAAATTCAGAATATTGATTGTAAAAAATACTTTGCATGGCATAGGAGTAAAACCTAAATACAACAAATAGCGGTATTTCTACAAAAGTTTCACATTTTTCTTAGATATTTTTTCTCTATTTAGAATTCTGTATAGAGTCTAAGACATTTATGTTAAAGTGTAGGTATTTGCTTTAATTATAAATATGCACAGAACTTTATTGTTATTTAGTTCATTTTACAAATGTGTTTGGTAAAATGTATCAGAGCTTTCAGTCAATTTCCAAACGTATACTGATGAAAATAAAATAATTGTCTACTTGTCAGCCCAGTGAATTTGATTTGAATCAAATATCAATTGTCCCAGTTTAGCAAATTGAGGTTTGCAGAAATTAAGTCTTGAAACCTATTGAAAGTTAATTGTACTTAACTAGTCCTAGGCACTGAACAATATACTTCAAATACCTCTTTCTATTTAAAAATAATAGTCCAAGCACAGGATGTTTAGAAAATAGATACAATAGATTAATGAAGAATTAATTGGATTCCCTCAATTCAATTTGTTGTGCAATTATTTCTGTATTTATTTATTCATCATTTCCAGAGTAAAAGAAGCTTTGTTTCCTTTTCTGCCTGTCTTTTGTAGTGGATACTAAACATTGATCCAGCTGACTAATTTCCTTGCTTTGATTTTTCCCCTTTGTCTTCTTAACTGAGAATGACTTCTCTTTACATTTTCTCCTCTTTTCTGTCACAATCATTCTTCTTTCAGCCTTTCTATGTATGTTTGTTTTGAATTGTTTTCCCTACTATTTCTTTTCCTGCAATCAAGATAACTCTTTTACCCAAAGCAATGCTCCAATAATGCATCTCACTTGTGTTTTTTTATTTAACACCTGAAATTTAGTCAAAGAACATTTCTAGAAATCTCACACTGATTAGATAGCAAATAGTGGAATAGATATTGCCTAGAATTTTAGGTATACCTTTTAAAATCAATCTACCTACCTACCTACCATCTACTTATCTACATAACTACCTATCATCTAGTTGACATTTGCATTACCATTATAACAGGGCCTAGAAAATTTGGGTTTAGTAGCAGACCTATCTAAGCAGCTAAAAAAATAAGCTATTTGTAACTTGACCTTAAGGAATATATTTGTTAAGATTAGTTTCAGTCATTGTTAATAAAAGATAAGAACTATAATATCATTATCCATAACTTAAACAAACAAAAATAATTATTATAATAAAGTTTATCATATAGGTAGTAACTATCTTTTAAAACAATAATCCTCTTTCTTAAAGCTATTTTTTAAAAATTTCTGTAAGAAAGGAAGAGAAGAAGAAAAATCAATTGAATCCATAGTTCTTGAGTCACCTTTCTCATTTCATTTGCTTCAGCTTAAAGAACCGTTCCTTGGAGACTTTGAGAACTGTCCAAAATAGTGTAGGATATAATCCAGAAGCTCCAGAAATAAGGGACAAACCAATAAAACTGTACCCCATCCATTTTCTTTCCCTTCTTCCCCTACACTACTTTTGTAAAAGGATTTTTTTGAATTTAAATTAATATTTATTTTCTTTTCCAGAAAAAGCTGATTACGTCATATGTAATTATTTTCTTCTTTACTTGCAAAATCTTGAAAATATCAACAAAAGAAACTTTATTCTTGAACTTTTTATGTTATTCAAAAATAACTATTCTGCTTGCAAATTTGAATGTAAATTAGCATAAATAAGCAAAGTGTGTACGTGTGTTTGGACACACACTCACAAATGCAAATTTATAGATGGGCCTTTACTTACAACCACAATTGGGACCAGAATTTCCATCATAAGTCATTGCAGTCATAAGTTGAGTCAGATCTAATTTTAAGACAATTTTATGGTGCTCGTTAAGCAAATCCAGCTTCCCTTATGCTGTTATTTTATCCGAAATCAGCAAAAAAAAGTTGAAAATCATGATCACATGACCACTGATAAATGCAAACTGGTTGCCAAGCATCCAAATTACTATTACATGACAATAGGGATGCAGTCTTGAGTACAAGTGCAGGTCATGTCACTTTGTCCAACACTATCGTAACTTTGAAATATTGTTAAACAAACAGTCATAAATTAAGGACTACCTGTAAAGAGCAAACAATTGTACTTTTGCTAATTTTATTGGTGATGGAAATATCTATGTGCATTAAATACACTGCTGTTTCAGTGCAGAGTTGTTGGCGTGAAACTGAGAAATATGTCTTAGGGAATGGAATTTTTGTTCTCCTGCTTTGTTTCTGATTTCTGTTCTAACAAGGTATAAAACTTTTAATCAGAATAAATGTACAGAATTGTAGAAGCAAATGTGTAATTTTTAAAATAATTATTTTTATTTTTTATTTTAAGTTTGTGACTTTGATTTTACTAAACCTCAGACAGATTGCAGCAGTTTTCTTTTATTTTATCCAATATCTCTTTTGTCATCCTACCTATCCAGTATATAAGTCCTAATGCTATTCTAAAGTAGCCTATGTTTTCTCTATTTAAAAGACTTACACTCATAGTCATCATGTGAGGCCATTCTTCATTTTTTTTTCTTATCTGAGGTTGTTGACCTCAGGAGAGGTGAAGAAGGTTATAGGGTCAAAGTCTTTTCCTCCTTGGAACTCACTGCTTGCTGGGAGAGGGTTGGCTGAGAAAAGGTTTTTTAAAAAAGGTTAAGGGTCATGATTTTAATTCTGTTAGAGAACAGCTGTTTTGAGTTTCTTTCCACTTCTAGCTCCTCTCCCTCCCTCCAAGCCCATAGAGAGATTGAAAAAATTGTTCAGAGAGAACCAGTAACACAGAAATATGCAGCTCTGGAGTATCACAACTTTACGAATGGATCATCTTTGCTATTGGTATTTACGTTAGGACTTTTAAAACAAAGAAACCATAGACTTTGGAGTTAGATTAAACACAATTCTGAAAGCTGTTTTATTTATCATCAGTAAAATATCAGTACTAACAGTAGTAGTGATTCTGTTGTTTAATGTTGAGATAATAATGTATTTTCATTTGCCCAATTATAAGCAAATAAAGGACTTGTTCTATGCAGTGGCTTTAAGAAGTAAATTAGAGCATTCTGTAAATCTTTAAAGTGCTTCTACTTTACTCTGGGTTTGCACTCTTCAGAAAAAGCAGAAATATTGAAAAATAAATAACTTTTTCTTTTTTTGTCTGCACTCTTCTAAAATATTAGCCTCAGGCTGTGTTAGTGTGTGGCTCAACAGCAATCAGAGGTCATAGTTTCATTGGTGGTTAGCATCAGATTTAATTTTTCTAATAAGTTACATTTACCAAGAAGTCTGGTTCGAGTTATACACCGCACTGCCTGAAAACCCTTTGGAATAACTTAAAACTGGAGGGTGGCTGAAAATGTATAAGAATGTATGTAATTATTTTAACAACCTTCCTTCCAAATCAGTTTTTTTTCTAAATTCTAACAATAGTGTCTAAAATTACTTTTATCAATTCAGCTATAGCAATATAAAAAGTAAATATGATTGTCTTTAAAATTGTTATTTGTTATTTGTATTTGTTGTATTGCAATTGGCAAATTAAAGTAAATATAGTGGATTTTTCCTCCATTATAGGAATGTGATCAAGTTCATATTGATGATGTTTCGTCAGATGATAATGGCCAGGATTTAAGGTAAATTTAAACTATTATAGGAGAGTGATAGAAAAAATAGAAGTTTTTGTTTGCCTGCTTGTTTGCAGCTTTTTATAATATAAAATTGTTTATAATAATTTCCGAATACTGTTATTTCTATTCTTTTTCAAGACATCTAAAATTCCAGCATAAATTCAGTTATCTTCAACTATCTGATAATTTTTAAAACTTTCTTACATCCAAAACAGCACCTATAACTTTGGGACAGATGGGTTCCCTGCAGCAGCTACCAGTGCTAATCTATGCTTAGCAACAGGGGTGCGTGGAGGAGTGGACTGGATGAGAAAGCTAGCTTTCCGATACAGACGAGTAAAAGAAATCTATAACACATATAAAAATAATGTTGGAGGCAAGTACCCGTCATATCCCTGTCCATGTAATTACTGTTTCATTGCTGTGTGAAGTTTTTGAATCTTGTGGTTAAGTTTTCCCACCTATTTACAACTGTAAAACGTGATAAGGGATTATAGTTGACATGTAAATGCTATAGTGCTTGTTCTCCCTCACTCATTCCCTGGCAGGTCTTCTGGGCCCAGCAAAGAGAGAAGCTTGGTTGCAGCTTAGAACAGAAATTGAAGCCCTTACAGATTCGTGGTTAACGCTTGCACTGAAAGCACTGACGCTAATTCACTCTAGGTAAGTAGATTTCACATAAGTAGTAATACAGACTAACTCAAGGGTGTCAAACTGCCGGCCCACAGTCCGGATGCGTCATGGCAAAACCACGTCCACCCCATTGCCGGCAATGGAAAAAAATCGTGATACATCAAAACACGTGATGTTGCGATTTTGACACCCCTGGACTAACTGGAGCTATAATGTAAATATACATTTTCCAATTCTGTTAAGTTACAATTAATATATTATGCACTGCTAGGAATAGCTGGTTTAATTAAAATTTATAGTTTTCTAAAATATGGCATTTTAAAAATTGGTGAATTGATGTGCAGTGTTGTTATAAAAGTGGACATGAATTGTTTCATTTTTCCCCTATAGCATCATGCTGTAGTAGATTAGTTGATAGTAGTGGCAGATGAAGAGAAAATTTGCCATTTAACTTATTATACAGAATTATTTCTATATATCCCAGGCAAGATAGCAATAAAATTTAACTCTTTAATTTATTAAATTTATTTCTTAGGTTCGTAGCCTGTCTTTTCCAGAAAAGTTGAGGAAGTATAGAGACCACTTCCCCACTTGCAACAGTTTTACCTCACAATAATAGCCCTATAAGGTAGATTTGGCCAATTACTATCTTTGTATCCATATATTTCATAAATCTTCACTCTTTTTCTATTGTACTGCATCCTATAACTGTTTAGTTTCTGTCTTATGATGCATACAGAATAGTTATAAACTATAATAACACACCATTGCTTTACCAATAGCATGGCTGATCATCCAGTATAGCCTTCTTCCAGGGGCAGAAGTGAGTGCTACCTCCATGCATTTGAAACATGGGGCATAAGGACAAGATTTTTCTACTTTTGGTATATTATATCTCATCAAGCAGCCCAGTAAAGATCTCATCCTTTTTTCAAAGGATCTATATGATTACAACACAAAAAGCTTATTGGAACTCAAAAAGCTCCTCTTCTACCAAACTCTATATAATATTTTTTTTAAATCCTTCTTTCCACTGCTTGCCAAGATGGGGAGAGGGACAAGCTAGGAATGTATGCAGATTTTCAAGCTTTCCTCCTACCAGTCTACCCACCCCATTAATAATTGGAAGCATCTACTGGAATCCAAGTTCCAGAGTTTTACAGTAGGTAGTTGGCATATAGACATATGTACTCTTTCTTCCTCCTCCTTTTGCATAAGGAATGTATGACTTCACTCTTACCACTCTGCTCAGTCACATAGCCCTTCCCAATCTGATCCACAGTTTCCTAGTTCTAAGTAGCACTACATCTGCATTCCACAGCAAGTGTCCAACTTGTGATATGTCCAACAAACTACAAAATATTCACTATTGGGACACAGTATTTCTGTGCTATGAAAAACTGGGATTTCCAGAACAGATAGCAAGAATACCTACATTCTAACTAAACTCCTGCAGTTTACCAGCATTACCAAATGAGATTCTCTGTGCTAGGTTATTTTGGGAAATATAACCCTATATTGAAGTAGAATAAACATCCTTATGGTACTTTTTGAGGGGGGGAGCAATGCTATAATAAACATAGAATTTGCTTTAATACTACAGTGGACTTAGTCTCCATGAATTCTTGAGAACCTTTAAATATCTATCATTGATGGTCTGCTTTATACCTCCCACTATCAGTCTTCTTAAGAACCAAGAGCGAGAAAAAAAGCAGAAACTAGAGAATCCTAGTTATTGTATATTGGATCCATAGAAATACTATTTCTCCATCTATGAACCCTTCCTAGCCTTAATTGTAGACTAAATTTTCCTTCCAGGTTTTTAAATGAAACTAATAATTTGTTGGTGGTATTGCAGTTTCTGTTTGATTATCATAAAATACTTCTTTACATTCTCCTAGGACAAATTGTGTCAATATTTTAGTAACGACTACTCAGCTTATCCCAGCTCTTGCCAAAGTCTTGCTATATGGTTTGGGTGTGGTATTTCCAATAGAAAATATTTACAGTGCAACAAAAATAGGTGAGTGTTTACAATGAACAGAATCTGTTATTCATGTTCAAGTTCATACTATTCAAATTCCAAATCCAAAATCTCATTGAGCATTTAAAACTGATTATATAATTATTTAGAACTAATCATTATTGATAAACATGGATAATTCTGACCTGGATCATTAAATGGTTTGTTATTATGTTTTTATTTGTTATATGTGGTTTTGTTATAAGAACATTTATTTCAATTGCCCACTTATAACTTAATGATCTTAGCATCAAGTTAAATCAATTTTACCTAGTATGTACAGGAGTTCAGAAATAATTATTTTACAGTATAAAACAAACGTGTCCAGCCATTTTATTGCTTCCTAAACTGAAATAAACTACACTATTCTTTCCCAGATTGGGACTTGATGATATGCTTGAACTTTCTAGGAAAAGAAAGCTGTTTTGAGCGCATAATTCAAAGATTTGGAAGAAAAGTAGTTTATGTTGTCATAGGAGACGGTGTGGAAGAAGAACAAGGAGCAAAAAAGGTAATGACACAAGATTTTTTAAAAAAATCTTATATAATTTATTCAAATAAATTATAGTTCATTTTAATTAAAATCTCCGTTGTCTCCCCTCCAAGCATGCCCATAGTGACTGTGGCTAATTGGAAGGACAGTCCAAGACATCTGGAGGCGATCAAGTCAATGAAAGTTGTTACGTATACTTCCTCATAAGTAGATCCCATGGTACTCAGTATAGCTTACTCTTTTATCCATGATTATTGATTTTAAGTTTTTTCAATTCATAAACCTAGTAAATAAATCATGTTAATAAAATAAAAATGTTTTACACTTACAAGCTAAAAATAGAAAATGCAAATCATTTCTCCAAAGATTTTAAAAGAAATCACCAGCTCCACCCCTCCCCTGCCAAATTAATATGTTGCTCAAATAATATTTTGGTCACTTAGTGAACTAGATATAGTTCAACAAATAACATACAATTATATATTAACAATCAAGCTCAAGATCAATAAAAAGCTTTACCAAACATAAACATTACCTGCTTTCATATATACATACAGGTGGCTTCAAGCTTGTTCCAAGGACTATGCATTTGTAGTGGTGAATTAGTATGCAATCTATTATTCTTCCCTCCTTTGAAAATGATGAACTTTTAGTTACACTGCATTGAACATTCTATACATATTTGTCTTCTCGGACACTTTCTCTCTAATGTTCCTGAAAAGCAACCATAAAAACTGATACTTGGAGCAGAAGATAGTGAGGGAAGAAAGGCTTCTTTGCTACATATTTGAACTAAATGGGAAACATATTTTTCTATGAGGGTTTCTGGCTGTCTTTTAATGTAGTTTGGATAGCAGATAGTAGTCAGCACAGATTACCACCTCATTACGGATTACCATCTCATACATGCATATATATGTGTGTGTGTGTTAACATAAAAAGTTCAGACAACACATTTGATTTTGCAGTCTGCATTGTTACTTGCAAAATATACACAAAAGGTTTCATACTGCAACTTTTGTGACAGTTTGCATATTATAGCTGCAAAAATTCCAATGTTGATGTTTTACTCATTTTATAACTTTATTTTATAGTAGTGCTCCAAAATTTAAAAACAAGCTCCACTACCCAAGGCTTTACAAACAATCAAAATCTGTATTTAAAGATACCATGAAGCTCAATAGGATCAAAACACAACAGCTTGCTCAGTATCTATGTACCAAAGCTCAACAGATCAGTCCAAAACAGCAAAAACCTCAATGAAATTTTAAATCATCCTTAAATTCAACTACATTAGGACATAATATCATTCAAAGAATAGAAACATACCAAGGCAACCAAATCATTAATAGTATTAGATGTTCTATTTATATTTATAACATGCAATCTGCATTCTTGCAATCCCTGCCTTCACACACGATATCTACTTAAATCAACTTTATATCTCTCCATAACAGATTTTTGAAAAAGGAGAATTGTATCAAGGTGCAAGCAGTGTTTTTGTCTTTGCCAAGAAGCAGCAGCAGATGCTGCGCCATCAATATGCTGATACCCAATTATACCCAGGTTGGCTAAGTGGGGAAACTGAAGATTTGTCCCAGTGCTTAGGGGCTGAATACGCCTGAATGTGGGGAGGAACTAATTCCAACTCAATCCTGCCAACATTGATATTGGGCTGTAGATATGAGGGCCCCTGGATCTGAGGACTTTCCATCCATACTCTCGGATAAAAGTCCAATTGGACTCACAACTTCTGCTTAAAAAGAAAGTGGCAATTGTAGCCAGGCAGCCTTTGCTGAGCAACATCTTTGTGCCAACTGTGCCTTTCCTGTACTATGCAGACAGTCATTCATGCCCTAGTCAGGCTCAACGACTGCAAAATGCTGCCCTTGAAAACTACTTAGAAGCTTCAGCTGGTCTAGAACATATGGGCATAGGACACCTCTATTCTCCAAACTGCAATGTTTGCTGCTTTGCTTCCAGATGCAATTCCAAGTGCTGATTATTACCTATAAACCCCTGCAGTTACTTCAGGGACAGCCTATCTGCCATAGTTGCATAGTTGGTTGGTTTTATTCAAAAGATTTGGAATGAGAGTCCTACTAAAATCCATGTTGCTTCCACAATTAAAATAATGGCATTTGAAAGAAAATATTTGTTATAATATAATAAAGAACATAAGGGCTTTCTTTCAAGCTTAGAACAGTCAAAATGTTAAGTCATTACAGGCTTTAAATTCTTTCCATAACTTGTAACTCTTCTTGGTCTAGCACTTCTAGTTCTTAAATGCATTCCCATGCTGTTTTCTATCTGTGAGATTTAATAAATACTTAGAACTTTGTTCTCAGGAGATGAAGTTGCTTGGGTAATTT